TTGCTACAACTATAGGATATGCTCGAATCATCCTCGCCCTCGCTTCTTTATACTATATGCCCCTGCACCCTCGCACGTGCTCCGGCCTGTACAGTTTCTCCTGCATTCTCGATGCCGCAGACGGCCTTGCCGCGCGCCGATACAACCAGTCCACCACTTTCGGCGCAGTGCTGGACATGGTGACCGACCGCTGTACAACCTCTTGCTTGCTTGTTTTCCTCGCCTCGGCGTTCCCGAGGTGGTCGATCATCTTCCAGGGACTGATCAGTCTGGATTTGGCGAGTCACTACGTTCACATGTATGCGACCCTGACCATGGGCGGACAAAGTCATAAGAAAGTGGACTCGAGCCGGAGCTGGATTCTACATCTGTATTACACGAATAAGGTGCGTTACATCCCTCGGGACAACTGATTGTCGACTTTGCTAGCGGAGGCGGCTGACCTGGATTGGGAATTGCTATAGGTCGTGCTTTTCATGTTCTGCGCTCTGAACGAACTCTTTTTCATTGCCCTTTACCTCCTCTCCTTTTCCTCGCCTCTACTATCCCCCTCACTTCTGGTCACCAGTGAGAGCGGCCTATCGTCCACCCAACCCGGGTCACCCGCACACCCCAAACCCAGCGCCATCTTTGTCAATCCCTGGAGTGCGGGGGCGATGGAAATGGCTCGCGCAAACAAGATGGATAGCACTATTCCGTGGATTCTGGCAGGGATCAGCGCCCCCATCATGCTTGGGAAGCAGATCATCAACGTCATTCAGTTGGTCAAGGCCTGCAAGTGGTTGGGCGAAGGAGACGTGGCAGCAAGGAGAAAGGCAGGCATCACAAAGATGAGAAAGAAGAAGGCGTAAAAGAATCGGAATTGCGACATCCTGCAGAGCAGGACTTTGCTGTGAGCTATATTCGAGCGGGGTGCGCACCCCAAAGTCTGGCGCATGGATTGTATATGTGTATGGAAATTTGGACATGGCAGCCATGGGCACTAGTGGATCAAGATCGCAGACCCCCTGAGACGAGCCACATACCAACGAACGCCTCCTATCGAATGGACCGAGACAGATGAACCGCAGCACTCGATGCGACAGAAATGCAGCGTTGCTCCACTTAAGCACAGGGACGGTATTCAGGAGTATCGGGAGTCAACCGCTTCAAGGGCAGAGTGGTCCGCGAGGAAAAGGTTGAACTTGAAGTCAGGCGACGTTGGGTCATTTCAGCAAAGCGGGTTTTGGCTGGCGACTTCTGTACCTGTAGGGCAATGGCGAATGGACGACAATCCCACTTCCAGCTATTGTGATGTTTCGGGAAGGGCGTCAAAGGGCAACCGGGTCCAATAATATCTCCGTGGCCATCTCCTGGGTTTGGATCTGGTGGACGGGCAACGGCGAAAGAACAAGGGATTGTTTGATTGGGGTTTCTTGGAGTCGAAATTCAGATGTTGCGGACAGGACATACTGTACGAGGTATTATTGTTACATAGATATCAGTGGTCTTTGGAGCGTATATATATTTTCAACTGAGAAGGACCGTACTCGGTCCGAGGTACAGTCAATCTAATAGCGAGGACGTTGTCTGACTGTCTCTCGTTGATATTGGACTGGGACTGCTTGAACATTACCCACCCAGGTAGTCAACTAGAGTATGTATATCTGTGTAAAGTACATGGGCATAAACAAAGGAAGTGCAGAGCACCCGATTCCTAGCCAAGTACCTAGGTAGGTCTGTATAAATGTAGAATGTATAATATATACTCTCCGTAGGCATCTTGACCCCCACTTCGCATATGTACAAGTACGGAGTATAAGGCGTAGAGGTACTCGGTACACGTGTAGTTAACGGCCACAACGGTCATCATGCATTGGCGGCTATAGGCTGTGGGTTACGGGGCACAGGCTACAGGGGAGTCCCTTGTAAGAGGCTGGCCCAGCATCGGATTCCTAGTACCGAACCTCGTCAGGGCCATGGTCAATACTTTGTATGCCGCCTACACTCTACCTGACACCATAAATTACCCCCTACAATACCGTTACCTCGCGATTTAGAATATACGCTCAAAAATATATACAACAGCAAAAACTTAGACATTGGCCCAACCAAAGTCAGGCGCGGTCGCTAAGAAACTGATCCTCTTCTACTTTGCCCATCACCCACCCTGCGCCCACACCCGTCATGATAGTAGAAGAGGCCTTTTTTTAAATCAATAGGATCCTCGCCAAGATATAAAATCCCAGATGGATGGTGGGCACTGGCCAGGTGACCCATAACCTTCCAAGGCAGAGGAAACATGTCTTAACCCAGCACAAGAGCGAAACCCGTCGGTTTCGAACTCGAGGCCTTGTCTTAAATTCGGGGTTTCTCTGTATTCCACTGCAAGTCCCAGCGCCAGGACATCCGCAGGGTATACGTAGTGAGAAGGTCTGTCAATCATTAGCAATTCCAGGTTCATCTGTTTGCCCACCCAGGCAGGTAACATCCTCTGGAATGCTGACCAGGATTGTGCGAGTGTAATCTTTATTCTGGCCTTTTCCGTTTCCTGAAGGGACAGTCACTCTTCATCAGACTTGGCGGGTGGACGTGAAGATGGACTGGAATCGGAAAAGGGAGGTACGCCTGGACAAGTGAATCTGCTGCGCACCCTGGTTCACCAGGACAAACACTCCATCTCTTCGACCCTCTTCACAGTTCGATCAACGCGTGCATGAACAGTCGAGTTCTCCTTCGGCCATTGACCAGAACACCAGTCAAGCTTCGCCAGGCAATCTCTGCTTCCATCCCCATCTCCGATTCTAAAAAAGGTGTGAGTTGAGGACGTTCACAGCTTCTCGCATACATATCTGATCGGTGTTCGCCCGGTCGTGCCAGTAATGCTGGCGAGTGAAGCTCCCATCTCAAATCATGACAAGCTCTTGCACGTCCCACAACGATCCCAAGCGGATCGCTGGTCAGTTGCTACTGGTACAACGGGCGGGAGGTTCCTTTGAGAATTGAGCATTGTAGAAAATGCCTACCGGGTGAGATACCAGAAGAAAGCAAAGGGAAGACCAGCCAAGTGCTGATGATTTGTGAGAATGGATTCCCACCAACCTACATCAAGGTATGTCGGGTCGAAAACAATTTTGGCAATCGGCAACAAGCCTCAGACCATAGGATGCAGGTTGGACAGAAACTGGCGTGGAAGAATGGAGACATGATCAGTGTCGCTGATAGGATCTTCGAGAATGTCGGAGCGTGCGACGTACATGGCTGAAGCGAACAAACAGGAGAATAAACGGACCGCAAAATCCGAGATCCAGCAAATACGGCGAGGAACAACTCAAACCTAGTGATTGGTCGTCAGTTTCCTCCTGGACTCATGCGAGGTGTGCCGAGGCTTTATCAAGAAAGAAAGCACAGGTGGCATTCTCTTCTCAAACTTGTTGCTTGTTGCTGCTGTGCTGGGGAAGGGTATGATTGTCAGCAGCATCATAACTCAAAATCCTTCGTTCCCAACATCTTCCAGCAATTCCAAGAAACCCTCTGGCCAAAGGGTCTTAGCAAGAGTCCACGGCATGCCAGCCTTGATTTGTTGTCGAGCTGAGCTGAAGTGCTTATGGCGCTATTGCTGACATCCACCAAAGAAACTACTAACCACTACCATGTTCTTTAGTCCTAAACACTGACGTATCTCCAACCGACTTTAAACACAACGCTCTGCCCAAGAGAGAGGTGTTTTCGATGGAGGCGGAGGTGGAGGTGGGCCCATGGCATAGACTGGAGGGCCTGAACCCAGGACGCCCTGCGCGATAAACGACAGAACTATTCGAGAGCGAATAGAATTGAATCGAGGAGGATGAGCCCAAAGGAGCCGGGATGGTCGTTCGCTATCTAAAAGACTGGATTTCTTATGTGGTCTAGCTTCGCGAAGCTGCTCATTGGATGGGTGATGAATGCTGAGACGCGTTCACCGGTGCCGGGCCTGGATCCGTCACTACTTTTGAAGATGCCTTGGTCGGACACAAAATGATCGAGGCGGTTTATAGAAGCAGTGAGAAGGGAACCAGGAAGACGTACATCTAGTGTCGTCATAGCCTCAATTCCTGGGAGCTGCTCAATTCTTTACTCTTGCAGGTTTAGTGTTTGAGGGCAACTTTTATGCTGAAAGGACCGAAATGTTTTGAGACTTGTGTGGCGCGCGCTCATGCTTCGTTCGGGGTTCCAGCAGTTTTCCATCAACCTTCCCTCACAGCAGCTTCAAGTGACTAGTGACTTGGTCAACTACGCTTTTGGGCCCGACAACACCCAAGACCATAGCGCTGCCAGCCGCAATTTATGTCCTTCCGGCGTCGTGTATGATTCTTACGTAGAGCCCTAAGCTGATGGCTTATACTTAAAGCGCTTCTAATTCCTCCTCGGACTTGACTTACTCTGCAGTCTTTAGCTGTCCTCCCCATTCCTAACGTTTTAGTAAAGAGGCTGAGGTGACGTAGTTAAGTAGGTATTTATAGCCCCCATCTTCGCACCATTACAATTCTATCGACTGCTGCAGGCGCCCGAATACCGGCGAATTCGAATTTGCGATGGACTGGACTTTACTAGCTCGTTGCTAAGAGTACCGAGTACTGCGTCCGGGCGGCTATCTCACGGGGAATCACGAATTGGGGAAGTTCCAGGGGTCTCCGGCCCGTTTCCCTTCTCTACCTAGGTAATTTCACCAAACTCTGGGCAGAGACTAGGCATGTTGACTTGTAACCACCAGGGAGTCTTTATACGCGGATCAACATTATTCCGAGAACATAGTAGCCAATTCATCGCTCTTTACCTCTCCGCAGAGTCCACACCCCGGAGTATCTATGAAATCTGTAATGGAGCGGGGAGAAAAACCCCCATGGTGGCCGGAAGAGTATGGAACTATATAAGAGACACGTCCAAGAGTTGGACTTTCATGGAGTGGTCACAAGCGAGGAAGACGGCAATCGCAGAGAAAGGTCCAGCTTCCTAATCTATTCGGAAGAAACGCACCAGCCATGGCTCCCGACCAAAAGCAAGAGCTGCATCTTACTCAAATCCAACATCTCGAACGGCATGTGCAGGACATCGACGAAGACCCTCACCGTCTCGCATTGGAAGACAATCTCGAGGAGGCACCACGCGTTGAATGGTCCGTTATCCTTGCTGTATTTGTGAGTTGTCTTTTTTTCCGTTGCTCGACGTAGCCACAGTCCACTCCAGTCGTGACTACAAGCTCGAGCTGTCACTTACCGAATGAATAGTTTCTTGGCCTCTCTTTCGTCGGCCCCGTAGCCATGGGCTTTCTCATGATGTCGTCGGTCCTGGTGCAGATCGGAAATGAACTCGGGGACCTTACTCCCATAGTCTGGATGGTTGGAGGATGGTCCATCGCTGCATCAGTGTCCTTCTCAATCGCCGGTGCATTGAGCGACATCTTCGGCCGTCGATGGATCGTTCTCTCTTCGCAAGTTTTTTGCATTATTGGTTCAGTATGTCCTGTCTTCCCCGATCTGGTCTGCCCCCAGCTCATTTGACGACAGATCGTCGCCGTCACTGCTCACAAAACTGTTACCCTGGTGCCCGCTGAGACCTTGATTGGAGTTGGGTGCGGTGTGTCTTGGACCGCGGTTGCAGGCATCCAAGAGCTCCTACCGAACAAATATCGGTAAGAAATTTGTAACTCCTAGGCAAACTGACAGAGCTGAATCCAAAGAACAGGGGTATAGGTATGGCTTGGACGGAACTACCGATCAATATCCCATGGGGCACCGCCGCAGTGATTTTCGCCAACCTACTCACTGAGCATGCTTCCTGGCGTTGGATCTACTACATCGCCATCATCTACAATGTAATCAGCTTGGTCGGGATTGCAGTATTCTACTTTCCACCCACGCGTCCTCAGGAGGATTATGAAAAATCCCGCTGGAAGGAATTTCTGGAGCTAGACTGGATTGGGGCCATACTCTACGCCGGCGGATTGACTGTCTTCCTTCTCGGTTTCAGCTGGACAGGGCAATCCGGTCACGCCTGGGCCAGTGCTTCGGTTATTGGCCCGATTATCATTGGCTTCGTGGCCTTGACAGCTTGTTTGGTGTATGATTTCACCCTGGCCAAAGCCCCGCTCTTTCCATGGGAACTCATGCGAGACTTTCGCGACTACACCGCCTACCTGGTCATTATCTTTGTCGCAGGAATGATTTTCGTTGCCATGGCAGGGCTAGGACCTCAAGCTTCGCTGTACATGTTTAGCCACGACCCAATGGAAATAGGGCTCATCGCCCTCCCCTACGGATTTATGCTGAACGTCACAGCTTCACTGATCCCTGCCTTAGTCCACAAGATTGGGTATATCAAATATCAGATGATCGCACTGTTAGTGTCCCAGACCCTTTTTGTGGCCCTCTACGCAGTCGCGGTCCCGCACAACAAATCTGCATGGATGGCCTTCCTTTGCTTCGGGCAAACCCCATTCTCCGGAATCACGGGCTTGGCCTATATTGCTGCCGGTCTTAACGTCAAACAGAAACATCTGGGCATTGCCATGGGCCTCATCGGTACTTTCCGGTGTGCTGGTGGCAGTGTCGGCAACGCCATCTTCAGCACGATTCTTAACTCAGTTCTTGATGGACAACTCGTTCCTCGCATTACCAAAGCTGCTACTGCAAATGGGTTCGCTACTTCAAGGCTGGAGACACTGATCCCAGCTGTTCTGGAGGATGGCGCGGGTGTTCCAGGCGTCCTAGAAGCTGTACCAGATATTACTCCTGAAGTGGTAGCTGCTGTGCAACAAGCCTTTAAAGAGGCATACGGCTATGTCTTCAAACGAGTCTTCTACGCCACCATTCCATTCGGAGTCATTGCCATCGCTTGCGCAGCGGTCCTCAACGACCCATCCAAGTATCTCACCAACCATGTCGCCGTTCACATGCGCAAGACCGTGCTTGATCATCATGGACATGACAATGAGCAGACCGCGCATATCGAAGTCAGGGAGTAAATGATTCTGCGCGATTAAAGGAGTTCACGTTTCAACACCGAGCTATGGTTCTCAGTGTTTTATTAAGGCGAGAAATTTTAAGACCAAGCGGCCCAAATTGAAGCCACTAGAACTCGATATCTGACCGCTGGGTAGCCATGCCTCAGTATTGGAGTGTAGCAACGTTACAAGCATAGCCATTTAGTGGCCTGCTGGATGCGCAATTTTACACCTTTGATCTCTTGAAGCCTTTGAGCCATCAACTTAGCTCGTGAAATAACTCGAGGGCAGTGGCGTTTTCATTTCGTTGTGGTACTCCGCCCGGGTACATTGTGCTCTAGCACTCCTTGATGACTTGGATCAAGCTATGGAGGGATACTGTGATATGACAATTTCATTGTTGTTTTGATTGATCAATCTTTTCCGCTTTACATGATTTGCATTAGAGGCAGACATGATCGCGACCACGACGAGGTTATGATACTTCTGGCAGAGCGTGGATGAAACCTCATGTCAGTTGAACAACAAACCGAGCAGTCCGAGAATGCGCTGCGTAGAATCACCATCCATCAATGGTTTTCATCACCCATGGTCTCGGGAGATCTCTACCTCTGACTCGCTTCGCTTCACCTCACCATCCGGGGACCGCTCTTTGGCCGCCTTTTAAGATCCTTCTCGGGTTCTCCGGCCTCCAGCCGCTTGATCAGTTCCTCAGGGACAAAGTCGACTCCCATGGGATTCATGGTAAACTCGGGCCCCTCCATAAAGGCCGTGGCCTCCTCATTGGTGTCATAGTTGTCCACCTGGGACTCGACTTCATTTCCATCCGGGTCGGCGTAGTATAGGCTGGTAGTGGGGCCGTGGTTGACGCACCACGAAGGAAGGATGCCCAACTTCTTGCGTTGGAGGTAGATAGTCATCAGGTCCTTGAGAGTGTCGTAGGCGAAGGCGACATGGGCCATTCCACACGAGTGTGCCGCGTCGGCCGCACGGGGTACAGCGCCATCGAAGCCCGTAATGGCAATTCTATGGTGTTCATCGTCGTACGAGATGAAACTAAGTTTTTCGTTGCCCCAGACTACTCTTCCCCCAAGAAAGACCAAATACCAGTCCACCATTGCTCGATAATTTTCAGGCTTCGTTCGAAGTACAACATGGCAAAGCCTCGAAGGGCTCTTAATCGGTCCCTCAGCGGTGATTTTCGTCATGGTTGGTAGAAATAATCTTGGGTCGCAAGGAGTTTTATATGATGTCGTCCTGTGTTGAGATGGAAAATTCTAGTGGCATGAAAAGCGGATTGTGTCAAAGCATATATATATTGTTTTCAGTGAAACCCCTGGTCACCTATATCGGAGATGTCGAAGCAACGAGGCTTCACTCCGGTCAGACGACGCCAAGGCGCACTGCCCGCAACAGAACTTCCTTCTAGAGAAAACAGCAGGCCCCGGGAATACCGGGGACAGAACAATGTATCGAAGCAAGATCTTCAAGATGCCGACTTCTCCACCTGGAAAGAATGGAAGAACCTGTCACACGCCACCACCCACCCGCGGTGAAAAAAGACTCAATCCACAGAGGGCTCCGCAAGCTTTTGCAGAAAACCACTTTTGAAACGTTGTAACCTCAATTGAGCTGTACGCCGGCCAAGGGAGGCGTTTGTGGACTGGACCGGGAAATTCCCAACATGGTATAGCTGGCGTCGAGAACCTCAGCACCCCGCGTCCCCACGATCCAGACTCGGGGCACAACCCCAGCATTTGATTCGCAGTGCTTGACCCGCCGCGACTCATTTCGAATCTCAAACTGGAGTAGGACGCCGCAAGTAGAGCCCCGAGGTTACTGCGCAAGCGGCCAATGTGCTCTTGCCAAAGCCGGGTGACTCTACTCCTCGACGTAGGTCTAAAATTTCCATGTTGTCCTCGCGCCCAAAAACAGTTTACAGCAATTGTTTTATGCTCATCACTTCGTTCGTGGAAGCAATCCGTTGTATCCGTGAAAGAGGTTTAGCTCCATATTCATCATGGCAGATTTGCCGCTATTCTGCACATACTGTGGACGAGGCTTTAGTCGACACGAGCATCTCCAGCGTCATATCTTCACGCGTAAGCTTCTGGTCGATGTCACTCCCATTCACATGATCTTGCGGCTAATGCTTGCGGGAACAGACACCAATGTTCGCCCTTTCGAGTGCCATGTCTGCAAATTGACATTCACAAGGAAGTAAGTAGCCCGAAGTCATGCTGTGTGGAATCATGGCAGCATACCTCGGTACACATGTACTCATGTCGTCAGTGATCTCTTAAGAAAACACTCCATGGTCCATCAGGCTGGCGCTAGAGATAAAGATAAAGCCAATGTCGGTTCCAAAACACCATCCGAATTGAGACTACGAAATGGTCCCGCTTGCGTCAACTGTGCCAAAACAAAGATCAAGTGTGACGGTAACAAGCCATGTGCTCGATGCGTAGCGAAAGGGATGAACTGCATGACACGGCCACGTAAGCCGCGTCGCCCACGATCGAAGCCAGTTGTACCCGCGTCGACCGGCCCAAATGGCACCACGACCACGACCACCACGGAACCCGGTTCAGACGCGTCAGATCATCAGTCAAATCAGCACCAAGCCGATAGCGAGCCTGCGGATTCCAACGACGCGCTCAGCGCCTCGGGAAGTGACAACCAGGGCGAGATGAGCACAATACCAACAGAATCTCACTCCCCTCCACAGCCTGCGACCCATGACATGGCCGATCAGAGTGCAGGCTCTCAAGACCAAGCACTCATCTCCCGCAGTACTATGAAGCAGCAAATGGAAGATCCTGATGATTCATTCATGCATAGCCTGACGATAGCCGACCCTCAGGTGCCACTCGACTTGATGGACATTGACTCAAGTCTACAGATGGACTCACAGAACAACCTATCTGGAGGCTACACCATGTTTACACTACACGCGAACGAGGATTGGGAATCGTTGATGGGCATGTTTGGCTCAATACCAGAGAGTCCACAACTCTTGTCGACGCACTCGAATACCACAACAAAGCAAGATTCTTTCTCAAAACAACAGACCAAGGAGCCTGAGTTACAACAGCAGGGTAATCATTCCTCGGACCATACTTCCGTGAAGGACCAGCATGATCCCTCTACCGCCATGTTTACGCGTTGGGCCGACTCGCAGCCCTTCGTGCCTTCCTACCTTCCAGTGGCGAAAACACAGGTCGAGTCGGGTTCCTCTGAGCTACCGGAACAATCCTTAGCAGCCACTCACAAACATGCTCACGAAAGCCCCGACAAGCCGTCGACCATGGCGTGGCCGGCAGCAGGCATGTCAGTCCCAACCACGTCCCCACTCGTTTTAAGCCCAGCACAAGACTCGCCAATCGATAATGGGACTACTGTCGATTTTCCGAAAGACGTCAACCACTGGACCATGCTACAATGCTGCCCATTCGACTTGTCGATTGCCCCAACAAGGGCTAAAGATAATCTGGTTTACCTCGAGCGACTCTCAAAAAATGGAGACTCCTGGCATGGGGCGGACGGAGCTCCTGATGGGCAAGCATTTGATATGACTGACGATTTTCAGAGAACCCCAGTGTCCTTGATGACTCGAGAGAAGATGTCTGCTATCATTCAAAGCTTTTTTCGAAGAGCCCTAGACATGCATGGCTTTGGTTATACTCCACGTACCTTTGCTTCGCAGTCTGCTGGTGGATGGTTTACATCTTCAACTTTTATTCTCTTACCACCTCCAGCAAGCATCGAACGATTTTTGTACAACTATGTCCAGTTTACTGATCCCTTTTACCCGCTCATTCCGGCGAGACATTTCGATCCGAATCAACTCGTTGATGACGAGAACGAGCAAGCAGCAACGCTGATGTTGCTGTTGATGATAGCGTCTGGTGCCATGATGGATCCGGCGAGCAGGTCTATACGCTTTGCCGCTGGACTTACCGAGGTCTCGCGGATCGCACTCTCTGACATTCTAGAGAAGCATAATAGTTTGTCCACCAGCGAGCTGATCCTCAAATGCGCCCTGCTATTCATCGTTCAAGCCGCTTGGAGCGGAGACAAGTGGCAGATGGACATCGGGGAAGGCCATCGATCAATGTACATTGCGGTATGTTCGCGCTTTGCTCTTTGTCTGTTTCACAAGGCTTGAATGACCTGAGCATCGTTCTCTGATTACCGGGAATTGGTGAATGCTGACTTTGCCTTCTTAGATGTTGCGGAACTCTCGGTATCTTGCAAAGCAAACCGTGGCAACGCCAACGGGTGTGACCGAACAGGACCTGGACGCGCTTTGGAAGGCGTGGATAAAGTTCGAGAGCCGGAATAGGTATGATCCTGTCTCTCGTCCATGACAAAGAAACTAACCGCAGTCAACACGGCAGACTTGCTTATGACTGGGTTCTAGCCGACCAGGAATTGTGTCTTTTCCACGGGCACCCAACCAAGTTCTCTGTCGCTGAACTGGAAGCACCACTTCCTGATAAGGACGAGCTGTGGCTAGCACGTAATTCAGAGGAGTGGAAACAAGTCCTTGACCACGAGGATGGATTTATCCAGACTTGCTCTGAAGCTCTCTCTCAACGCCCCAAGCATTCTCTTCGACTTCTATTCCAGCTCTTCCTCGACAATGACCTTAATCAATCTGGCCTGGCCATAACGCCGCTCCGACTCCGGCTTCTGCTGTATCCGATACAAACGCTTATTCAACAATATTGTCAACTTCTGAACATCTTTTCCGACTCGGGAATTTCAGTTACGGTTTCCAAGACTATGACCCGAACATCATCCCTTATCCGAGTTGAGGAGATTCAGAATCTCTTACAAAGGTGGTGGTCTCTTACGGAAATGTGCGTGCCAGTTGGTGAGAGGCAACAACGCATGACGGAAGCTAACTACATCCTATACCACCTCATCAGCCTTGACGTTCATACTTCGTTCAAAGAAATGGAAGCATTTGCCAGAGGATGTCGGCCAGACTGGACCTCTTCCCGGGCCCCATACACAGCTGAACGATGGATCTACGCAGTCCCTGAGGCGCTTTTCCACTGTGGCCAGATTTTACGACTGGTTCGTGATATGCCTCCAAATGCACGCCCTGTTTGGTGGGCTGCGGCAATCTACCGGGTCACTATTGTGCTATGGATCTATAGTCTTTCTTATACGTTCGGGCCTTCCCGGCCTACCCAGCCGCATCCTGGTTCAGACTCGATCAAGCAGCAAGAGCCAATTCAAATCGACCAAGTCTTATCCAAAGACCCCCGCACGATACAGTTCCTCAAATACAACAGAGGAGATCCTCGTTTAACCAAGTCGGACGGAACATCGGCAAAATTCGACAGTCCTTCTACGGTTCTAGCGCTGTGCATCGCCGCCGTCGACGGCGGACCGGGCAGCTCGTGGTTTGCAAATGGCGTTAAACAGAAACTGGAACACTTGGCCAAATTATGGCACCCGCCAGGCTCGGAAGATCTGGCTTGTCTGCTGTGAGCGATGCATGATGATGCACACGAGGAATTGTCTTGTAATACTGGAAATGTCTACAGAGGCAAGCACAGGCTGAAATAACACGGCTGTGTGAGAGCACATCGTAGATCAAGGCTTGTCAGCGTCATCAAATTCAATGGTCATATTTGATCTGATTCTGTCTGTAGTTAACTTTCAGTTATGTGCAATGTCCGCCAGACCTAGATGTCGGTCCTCCGCTTGACGTGAAATTTGACCGTTTTGGCATGCGGACTCATGATTCCGCGGTCGTTAGAAACCATCAAGTCTGGGGTCGTGGACTCGTCCAGTTGTATGTCGTATCGCGCATACAAGGCCGAGACGACCAGTAATAGCTGCAGGCGGGCAAGGTGGAGGCCAATACAGTTGCGTGGACCAGTACTGAAGGGCCGGAAGGCGAGCTTCATCTCGGGAGTGGCGTTACTCCACCGATCAGGCACAAATGATTCGGCGTCCGGGAAGACCCCTTCGTTGCGGTGTGTCGTGTACGCCAGGTTGCAGACTCGTGTGCCCGCGGGCACGTAGGTGTTGCCGATGACCTTGCCGGGAGATATTCGCGGCAGGTTCACGGGGATGGGTCCACGAAGTCGTAGGGTTTCTTCCAGGACGTTATTTAGCAGAGGCTGTGAAGAAGAAGAAGACGCAGAAGAAGAAGGGGTCAGTCTATTTTCTCTCTCTCAAAACATTTGTGACCACAGAACAACGCGCGCGAGGCACTTACCAGCTGCTCCACCGTTTCGAAGAGTGGAAACGCGTGTTTGTTGGGTACCGCGTCGCGGATTTCTTTGACAAGCCGGGCTTTGATGTCCGGATGGGTGTCGACTTCGTAGAGCAGGTACAAAAGGGTGCTGAGCGACGTTTCGCTCCCGGCTTGAATGAAGAGGATGGCATTCTCCATGAGTTCGAGATCGGTCAGAGGTTTAGTGATCTTCTCGTCCGTGGTTTCGACGACCCGCTTGAGGAGCGAGCCCTCCTTGACGGCGCCAACCTCCAAGCGGGCCCGGAAGTCCTGGATGCGCGATCGTGCGAACTGGATCAGACGCGGTCGGGCCTTGACCGCCTCCTGCACATATGTCGTTGGCAGCCACTCGACAAATGGAAACATGCCCCTCAACGCCGAGATGTTCTGCACTGCGTCCGCGTCCTTGGCCTCCTGTATGTACTCGCCTTGGAGGTTGTTGAAACACTTGTCGAAGGCCAATTCACTGATAATGTCGAGGAACATATGATTGAAGGGGTTGTACACGTTGACTGGTTGAGGAGACGATTCGATGATTTCGAGAGCTTTCTCCATGATTGGAATCAATCTACTTTGTGTCTTTTTGATCTCGCTCATGGCAAAGGCATGAGACAAGAGACGTCGAATGCGGGCGTGGTCCTCACGATCCAGAGCATTGAAGACATTTGTTGCACCTGTCACGGTGAAGGCACCGTAAAAGCCCGGGTCTTTGAGGCAAGGATTCGACGATTGTCCGTAAATATCTTTGACGGATGCAATGTCGCCGAACAGGAGCTCATTGGGTCCAATGCGAACGACGTCGCCGTATTTGGTCGACCAGGCATGACGAGTGCGAGTTGACTCGCCACGGACTGAGGCCAAGATGGTATTCCATTCCGTCAGCTTGCCCCAGAATGGCCCAGGGAACTTTGCGAGGGGATGGAACCAGATTTGGTACACGACGTAGCCGATCGTGTAAAGGACAAGGGAGCTGAAGGCCAACAGGTAAACACCCTGCGCAGGATGTTCCGTCAGGGGGTTCAACTTTGCCTCGAGGTTCAACAGAGACATGTTGACCTTATTCATCGTGGCTTGAATTTGCAAAAGTTTGTAGGCGCAAGTGCAAATATAGTGGGAGCAAGGCTTAGAAGCAGAAATAAAAATAAAAGACGGATGTCACCAGACGTGAAACTTCGTCCGGGCTTCGAGAAGCATATTTGGGAAAGGAACGCAACGAGTACAATGTTGGCTGGACTTTAGTCCGTCTGCCATCAAGCATTTCCTCGGGCGTCCTCGAGGCCCTGTCTGCCGGGGTTTGTCCTCCCTGTCCTCCGCCTCCCCATGACTGTTTCCCGGGGCATTCTCCCCGCAACGGGGATTATGCATGCGCATCATTTAAGGCTTGGGGAGCCGGGCATATCGCTTCTTTTTGGGGAGCCGAACCCCCAATCCGGGGATAGTGACAAGGTATGTACCGTAGACTCCCCACCGTCATACACCAGGAGCCTAACATTGGTGGTGCAGAACCCCTATCTCTGATTATGAACGATCCCAACACCCTCTCTACCTTGCCCTTTTGGGTAATTTTCCGAAGGCCTAGATGTGCTTTGGCTTACCACTGGCCTATTGACCTAGTTTTGCTATCAGCACAAACGAAAACGTGGAAGGGGACCACTTCCCCATGGTTCACGTCTCCAGATCTTCATAAAGCCATGTCCCTGTCCCCAGCCGCATTCTTTTTGCAGAGAGTCAGACGAAGACTCAAGACAAGATGGTTGCAGAATACGAATCCAAGACCGCCGTCCAGAGCGAACCAGCCGGGCAGGTGGACCATATTGACCATGCCCCTGGCCTGGACCACGTTGTCTTCAATGCCCACGATGCGGAGGTCGCGGCTGGGGAAGTTTTGGCCCTGGTTGATACCGCCGACATGTCATGCATAGGCGATCTGAAGCTGGCAAAGGATCACCACGTATGTATTGTCAGCATATTGGGGCCGCTCGAGTCCTAACAATGATACGCAGACGGTCCTGTTTCCACAGCCGAGTAGTTCGCCACATGATCCACTCAATTGGTCGTGGATGCGCAAGCATGCTCTGCTGGCTTCACTCTGCCTGGGCTCCTTTCAGTGCGATTTCACTGCCGGCATTATCTCTGCGGTCGTCCTACAGGGAGCCGAATGGAACTTGAGCCCCAACAAGGTCAACGAAGCAAGCAGTCTCAACATTCTCATGATCGGTATCGGTGGTTTCATCTGGATTCCGTTCATCAATTTCTGGGGACGCGCCCCCGTATTGTTCTGGACCGCCTTGTTGGGCTTTGCCTTTACGCTGGGATGCGCAGTGGCACCTAACTTCTCGACCTACTACGCCATGCGAGGCTTACAGTCGACCTTCCAGTCGTCCTACCTCTCCGTTGGTCTTGCCTGTATCACCGACGTCTTCTTCTTCCACGAACACGCGCGGAAGATTGGTATCTGGATCGCCTGTGTCTTGACTGCGCCCTATTTTGGACCAATTTTTTCCAATTTCATGCTTTACTATCTTGTCGAATGGCGGCCCGTAACGTGGATGATTACGGCCGTGTCAGGCCTCAACCTTGTCCTCACTCCATTCCTGATTGACGAATCGTTTTACAACCGCAATCTCCCTGCGGAAAGCCAACCACACAGAGGCAACAAGATATCGCGTATCTTGGGCATTTGGCAGATCCGCAACCACAGCTACTTCATGCCTGTCGGCACTGCGTTTTTGAGGTACCTGAAGGTTTGCCTGAAGCCTTTGGTTATACTCTCGTTCATCTACTTGTAAGTGTTCCTCCCAGTTACCCACTGGATCTCGTCCGCGAAGGAAGTCGAACTGTCTTTCTTCTGCTCACTTCCAGTATACGTAATTGACTGGTGTCCAAAATATAGCCTTCTAGCGTACATGTGGTTTATCGGCACCGGTATTGCTGCGCCAATCCTGCTCCAGACACCCCCTAGCTACGGCGGCTACGGCTTCAGCAATAAGGCCGTGGCGTGTATGTACTTTGCGCCACTGGTGGGCGTCCTTTTAGGGGAATCTTTCGGCCATTTCTTCAACGACTGGCTGGCGTTGAGCTACATCAAGAAGCACAAAGGTGTCTTCGTGCCCGAGGTCCGACTCAAGGCCAGCTTCCTTGCCACAGTGTTCATGGTTCCCGGCCTCATTCTACTGGGCCAAGTCCTGGGCAAACACCTGCACTGGGTGGGCATCGCGTTCGGCTGGGGCATGTACACATTTGGCGCCTGTGTCACCGCTGTCGCCCTGTTTGCATACCTGTCCGATTCGTATCCCACCGCCTCGGGTGAATGCAGCGCCATACTCAACCTCTCGAGGTGTATGGGCGGGTTTGCGGTTGGTTACTTTGAATTGCCTTGGGGCCTCAAGGATGGTTATCCAGTTTCCTTTGGTGTACAGGCGGCACTTGTGGTTTCTTCGGTCTTCTTCCTCATCGCCTTCATGTTTTTCGGCAAGGCTCTAAGAAGGTGGGGCGGTCCCGTTGAGCACTGAATCGTTTCGGTCAGTCCGATCGCCACGAGGATTGAGAGAAAAGTTTGAAGGGTGCTGTCGGCCCGCTGGAATCGCGTTTTGCCTTGACCACATTGGCAATCATGTACTTGCAAATCACCAGTACACCGTAAGTATATTGACGCGACCAATTTGTAATTCTGGTCTCTTAAAACCTTCAGAACGCTATCAAGCAAGTGCGCGGGTATGTCCCAGGTTCTCGACATGTATGCGTCTACAGTTGTTTGCATTGTAGAAGAATAGTTCACAAGGGCCATTCCGCTGGCTGCACAAAGAGAACGATTGACGCTATCTAACTCCTTGTTCGTGACGAAAATTTCTACGTGAGAAAACCAATTCACTCTCTACACTAGAGTCATTCTAATTTCGAGCGCCAAATATCTTCATCCTTTCCGCCGGAGGAATCATTTCCTTATCCTTTGGCGGACCTGTGGGAGTACCGAACACGAGTTGAGCCTTCAATTCCCACTCCGCAGGGATGTCGAAGGCCTTTGCGACAGCATCATCGATGTGAGGATTGCAATGTTGCAGATTGCAGCCCAATCCCTTGTTGGACAGTTGCGTCCAGACTGCATTGAAATGGAAAAGAATCAGCCTCAGAGCCTAGTCCGCCACGGGGACAGACTTGAAAAGAAATACAGAATAATCTGTCGTCCGTGGGAGGTTTCACTTACTGTAGTATTGGTGCATGCCATTCGTCACGTCTTGCCACGTCTGGATCTTCACTTTATCGGCTTCGGTTTTCCCGTAGGATCTTATGACCTTCTCGACACCGCCCTTGACTTCGAAGAATAATACCTGAAAGAGTAAGGAGATTCTTGTCAACCAGTAGCCAGAGAAGCAGTCTTTAGGGTTTCGAACGAGAAGTGAAATCTTCAGGGGCGCCAAAGCAGTCTTTCTTCCCACCGATCTGAGATCTCTGGCGGCGGTAACTTACAGTTCCATATGCGCCGCGGAATCCTTCAAACCGCGCTTTCCCAAAACCGTTCCAAACATCAGCCCCCATGCTCGGCCGGACGATGCCAATGATGATGTCCCATAGCTTGACATGTTCTTCCCCAAGCATGACGGCAGCACGGGTCGTTTGAGAGTTGAAGGTGGATGGACAATAGAGCAGTGCTTCCTGGACGATTTCGACGATGTCTGAGTCTGGGATAGGAGACTTCGCCTCAAGCTTGTAGATGGACCGGCGAGCCTTGGCCGCCTCGCGAAAGCTTTGCGCGTATGATGCCATTTGGTTGCGTTTCGATTGGGCCGATAGTCGATTTCGTGTTTCTTTCGTCAGGCTTTCGTGCAAATTCAAACGGAGCGCTAGAACTGTTCTTATAGTCGTGCAATCTATAGACTTGCTCAATGTTACGTGGTGCAGCGCTCGATGAGGGTTCCTACTTGGTAAGTATTGCCCCGGGGTATTGCAAAGGCGGAGTGCGCCGAATCAAGCATGGTGGACATGTGGGTACGGGTCAAAGGCTTTCCCACTGTTATCTGGTCACGAGAGCGCGGCTCGGGAGCATCGGAGCAATCCATTGGTTACTCCGAATGTCTACTCCAGTCGCTCGAATGAGCAGTCGGAAGAGGATCTGAGATCATAGCGAGATCCCGGCCTGGATGCACTCGAACGGGCATACTTTATGATAAGTATTGAAGGGCTTGAAGAATAATAACAGTCAACACTTGTTGCTGAGCAGCACAATCGGCCACGAGCCCAAGGGCTACATCTAGAATATCCAAAGCAAGCCTGCGTCTAATGCGAGTGATCCCCCGTCATTTCTATATCACCCTGCTAGTAGCCTAGAGCCATGTTCAGCAGCAAGCCACGGGTGCGGGCAAGGTAGGCGTATATGCTCTTTGTGCCACACTTTGACAAAGAGCCTCTATGACGTGAGCTCCGTACTCGAAATCCTCCATCTCGAGATAGACTTGTGCAGAAAACCGGGCCCACCATGCATTGTGGTAGAAGATGAAGGCTATAAAAGTCGAATGCTCTGTCACGCAGTTGGAGGCGAAGAAGTTCGTGACGGTGGGAACATGACCACGTGGCACTTTTGCGACCACGCGTTGCGGAGAGTCTGCTGCTGTGGAATCTGGTGCGGACTCTGAGTTATTGCCCATTGGCTGAACCCTATCGTCGTTGTCGTCGTCGGAAACCTCGAGTGGCAGGCGGACATTGACAAGACAACACTCCTTCGTCAACGTATGGGTGTCGTTATCCATGACCTCGGTCCCTAATATCTCCGCAACACGGCGCCCACCGGCATGTGCGAGGTCATGGCAGTATTTCATGATGGCGGCTTCTCCCCCACAGACCTCTTTTCGGAAACGAAGCGCCTCCTCCAGACAGAGAAAAGGCGCGTTGTCGACGCTGCCCACGAATTCGAACTGCGATACGAAGTTGCTTTTTCCAGTCGGTGGAAGTGGGTTGTTTGCTGGTGGTACACCGGGCCGTGGCACTGGAACAAAATAGTGTGATGTAGGGAGCGACGATCGCATGAGATGCTGATTGCGTTCAGGCACATAAAGGACCGCGCAGCCTCGGGGTGCGAACAACCATCTGTGAAGCCACGGTGAGCGATCCAAAACATCATGAGAATATTTCACGCGTAGTCTTGCCAGCCTACAGAAGGGATATATGGCCTTTCACAACATAGGACTTACTTGTGGCAGTTTGAGATAAAAAAATCTGGCTGAAATTTCAACAAGTCAATGGGGAAGTTGCCAACGGCGTGAGCACCATCGACCAGACTTAAAACGTGCTCCGATCTGGCGACCGCGACCAACCGCTCAAACGGCAGACGCACTCCAGGCAAACTGGCGATGGTCTCGAATAAGGCCACTTTAACCTTGCCTTTGTGAGAGGCAAGCGTCTGCTGAAACTTTGCCACCAGGTCATCATCACTAATGGGGTAAGTATACTCGACTTTTACCGATTCGACCGGCGTCGTTTCGACAAGAAAGTCGATCGTCTTCTCGCATGCACCATATATACGATCCAGATATACAATCAGGTCACCCTCTTCGAATTGCAGGTTCCGGAGGATTGCATTCACAGCCATCGTAGCGTTGGCGATGTAGACAACATCTCCGACTGGTACTTGAAGATACTCTGCCATGACAGCTCGAGAAGCATCCAACAGACGAGGATATTCGTAACGGATGTACCGATCCGGTGCGGCTTCGGCGGCATCCTGCAGTGACCGAAGCTTGTCCCTGACGCATTTTACATACGTTCCAAACGAGCCTACAGGGTTTGTGTTAGAACACTAGCTATGCAGCAGAGGGGTATACAGGAAAAGCAAAATACCATGGTTAAGGTTGACGAACCCCTTTTCGAACAAAAAGTGTTCATCGCGCATGCGGTGACCCATTGGCGTCATAGTGCTTGAGATTGTACCTTGAGGGTAACGGGTCGATGGTTGAGGCTGACTAGCACTGCCCATGTTCGGGAAGCCAACCGGAATCCTACACTCGGCTCACGGTCACTGGCATCTGCGGCAAGGTACAACTTGAGACCGCAATGTAGCATGCCTCGATCTTTTGAGGTACTGAGGAGTAGCTGTGCGGGCGCCCGGCCGGGCTTTTCGCCCTTTCGATGCCTCGCCCCAAGTCCCCACAAAGCTCTTGCAGGTGCCTCAGTCGGAATTATGGTGGGGTACTGAGTGGGGGGCCCTCTTCCAGCTCGAAAATCCGAACCCAATCAGGCGTCCTGTGTTATGCACCTAACTTGGGCTCGGTTAGTACCTTTTCCTTTTTGATGAACACTACCGAGCACTCTTTTTCCGGCACATGGACGAGGCAGGGGGAAGCCTAATGCCTCACGACAGAGGAGTACTGTAGCCAGCATCCGAGGAGCCGTGACCCCACGAAAAGGAATCCCCAGATTTACCTGATTGACAGGGTCACGTGTAGCAAGGTGTGGATCACGAGGAGCTCTTCACTGTGGAAATTTATTTGAACTTCGGCCAACCCTCTGCGAGAGCTGATCTAGAATGAGTTGCTCGCCTCCTCGTACGTAGTAAGCTACGGATACTCAGCACGCTTCTTAGCCCACATCTCTCGCTTTGTCGATAGGATGCCACTCCCACCAAAAAAGGTCGCATTTGTGACCGGCGCGAACGGAATCAGCGGGTTTGCAATTGTTGAACATCTGGTGCGACAGCCGGAATCAGAATGGTATGCTGAAAATGAATATTTAAGGCGCACGAGAACAAGATTAACAACCCCAAGGTCTCATATCCTGGTGTCTTCCAGACGCCCCATGGCTGTTCCCTTGACCGACCCTAGAATTACATTCGTGGCTATCGACTTCCTCGACCCTGTTCCCAAGATAGTGCAAGCTCTTTCAGCCTATACGGAGGCTAAGGACATCACACACGCCTTCTTCACCTCATATGTACATGCAAATGACTTTAAGCTACTTCGTGAAAAGAATGTTCCTTTGTTTAGGAATTTCCTCGAAGTCATGGACACCATGTGCCCCAGACTTGAGCGAATTTGCCTTCAGACTGGCGGAAAAGTGATAATCCCTAGCCTCTACCCCTGTATCCGGGAGCCTATAGTGGCATAGGGCGAGACTGACGATATTGCCTAGAACTACGGCGCACATCTTGGACCCGCCCTCAATATCCCTCATCGAGAAGACCAGCCTCGCTCTGACGATCCTGACAACTTCTACTACCCGCAAGAAGACGACATGTTCGCTGTAGCCAAAGGGAAGAAATGGGGTTGGAATGTAATACGACCAAACGGGGTTATTGGCTTCACGCCACACGGTCAGTATTGCTCTACACTTCGATTCATGGTCACTAATGCCATTTTATCTCTAGGTTCTGGCATATCTGAGGTTTTGTCAATGGCTGCCTATCTTTTGCTTGTCCGGGAACTCAACGAGTCGGCTGCGTGGCCTTGGAGTGAGTTTATGTGGACGGGAGCAGATGACAAATCCTATGCGCCCGCCATTGGGCACATGTCGGTCTGGGCGACGACAGAAGAACACTGCAAAAACGAAGCCTTCAACTGCGTCAATGGCGACATTATCATATGGAAGTACTTCTGGCCTGTACTAGCCAAACATTTCGGTATCAATGTATGTTTTCCCCCCTTTCCCCCTGAAACCGCACACAGACCACCACTAACGGGTCTATAAGGCTCCTGAACCTGTCTTCGATGATCCAAAACGGCCGAAGCATTTCGACATGGAAGCTTGGGCAAAAGACAAGAGGCCTGTGTGGGAGCGAGTGGTCAAGAAGTATGGCGGCAAGGTGGAGGCATTTGACTGGTGTTCTTGGGATTACCTCCCCTGGTGCATGGGAAGGACATGGTCCTCGCTTTCGTCAATGAACAAAGCTAGGAAGTTTGGCTGGACCCGCTTCGATGACTCCCAGGACACGTATCTGTCAGCGATCCGGTGCTTCGAGAATGCAGGTGTCCTCCCACGCATTCCGGCCCAGGTTAATGGAACATAACGAAGGACCATCTAGGTCATTATTAAAGTACCAGGATTTTGGTTATTGCTAATATTGTACATATTTGGAAGAGCAAGGTACATGTCCCCCGAATAGAATAGACAGAACATGATAGAATTCGTGGACAAGAATATGATGTAGGTGTCTGCATGATTAAATCTAGCTGGCCTCTGCTCACTCCAGCGGTACCCGGATTTCAAGGCGTCAGGTAGCAGACGAACAGAAAGGACCGGAATTGCTGAAACGAAATTTTGCGATCGGTTTTTGATAGTATTCATACGCTCTACCCCTCTCTCGAGACCTTTCCCTTGTAAGTTTCCTCAGGCCAACAGGTCCTCCCCCTTCTATTCTACCTTGACCATGGCCGCAGTGTCCTAGGAGCTTTTTGTTAGCTCGTGTAGCGTTGAAAAATCAACAATCTGCCGTGTGATTTTGGTTCGACCTACCATCCAGACCTTGTACAGCTTGATCCTCGGGTGACTTGTCTGAGTATCGACAAGAGAAATTCGTGCTGTGAACTCTCCTCTCTTTTTTTCGCCGCTAATATATCCTACTGTAACTTGACCAAGAACCAAAAGATCCTCTGCTGTCACACTGTCGATGTATACTTTGAGAATTTCGTGCCGCCTGGTGGCAATTGCTTTCCACGCGTTATCTCTCGACCGTCTGAGGGCTGCATCATGCCCATTTAGTCTCTGAGTGCGCTTCTGAGGCGTGCAAGTAATCTGCACCCACCTTCGGTTCCTTCAAAACGGTGATGGCCATCTATGGCACCATCACTGGCAAAGATCTCTTCGGCGAGTCTACCGCCTGCTTCGGGGGCATTCGTGTCCATGATCGAGAAGAACTTGTCCAGATGCTGTTTGACGGCGTCAGGAATCTGTATTGACGGCCACTCTGTCAAGGCCGTGTTGATGCCCATCGTGAAATCTAGCAGGGTTCTCGATGAATATGCTGTTTTTGAAAGTCAATGATTTAACGATTCAATGAGCAAGACCAGAAAATGGTAAGCGGCAAATGTCATAAGAACGTACTTCGTTTACGTCTGCGACATGTGCCTTTTTCTGGGGACAATAGTTGCCCAGGCATGTAATCTCGGAAAGCACCACACAGTTCATGGCACTGTTCCACGCCGTCCGGTCTACGCTGACCAGCATCCGGCTACGGTATTTCTGGGGTATTCCAACTGTCGTGGGTCGGCACTGTCTGTGTGAGAGTGTGAAGTCTGCATGTGACACGGCAAGATTGATTTCGGAGTTTGTGCCTACTGGGTGCGATCTTCGCCGCCCCCACCGCGGATTTCGTGGCTCAGTGACTACCGACGCGATGAGGCAATCGCTGGGATTCTCAAGGTACTGGGATACAATGATTGTTCCGGCGAGCTTTTGAACGGACTGTCCATCTTTGGATAGACTCCGAGTCTTTTACTCGACGTCGCCATCTCCGCACTTACAATCTGCTTCCATATTGTTAAGTTTTGTGTAATCTGAATTTGACGACAGAGCTACCTTCCCTAATTCTTTGTCGCCATGGCTCCTTCGAAATTCACTCGCTTATTGAGGTTCAGCAATGCTGAGGGGACAGTGTTCTTCGGCGAACTGGGAGACGAGGTAGCCACTGCAGAAGCCCTGATTGGACGTTCCGTCCGCGTTTACTCAGGCAATTCGCCCTGGGAAGGTGAATTCACTCTTACTGAGAAAAGCGAAAAAATCGCACAGGTTGGTAGGCTTGTGTGCACATGCGAAGGCGTGGAATTGCACAATTTTGGAGGAGAAAGCAGCTGATAGCGTGCAGTTGTTGAGCCCCGTTCCTTATGCGCCACTCCTGTACGGAGTTGGCTACAACTACAAAGCTCACGCCGCAGAGTCCAGTGTAAGTGACGATGGCTCGCTACTGCAGGTATCTGGCTGAAACCCCGTTACAGCAAAATGTCCCTGAGTCAGAGTATCCCGTTTGCTTCACCAAAGCGCCAGGTGAGTGGCACTCCTGAAAATCCGAGCTCTCCATCGACGGCGTCGTAACTGACTGAACCTATCTCAAGGTACCCTTGCCGGGCCGCTAGAAGACGTCCCATTCAGCGAAGAATTACTTTATATGGATTACGAGGTATTTCCGGCTGCATGACCCAAGCCACATGAGCGAACCTTCCGTGGGCTGTGAGAGCTGACTCGTCTTTGACTCGCATAGGGCGAGCTCTGTGTGGTTATTGGAAAACCGTTGAAGAACCTCAAAGAAGGGGAGGACCCTACGCCCTATATCGCAGGCTACACGGTCGGAAACGATGTGTCGTCAAGATACTGGCAGAGAGCCGAGCGATCTGGAGGTCAGCATGCGCAGGGCAAGTCGTTCGACAAATTCGCTCCCATCGGTCCCGTCCTTGTGTCCACATCAGCCATCCCAGACCCTAACAAGCTGTACCTGAAGACATGGGTCAACGGAGAACTTCGCCAGGAAAGCTCGACAGGGCTACTGATTTATAGCATTCCCACCGTTCTGAGGTATCTGAGCCGTGGTGTGACTCTTCAACCTGGAACTGTGCTCATGACTGGAACCCCAGCCGGCGTGGCTGCCTCCTTCAGACCTCAGAAGTGGCTACAGGACGGCGATGTGGTCGAAGTAGAAATATCCGGGATCGGCAAAATCAAGAACAAAATGGTTCTTGAGAAATGAGTGGCAGCCGGTCAGGGCATGTGCTGATCGTGGCACGGAAACACGACGCACGTTTCACGAGACGAGCGCCCGTACTTTTCTGTATCTAGACTTTTGCTACGTTCGTTCCAAGTAGTGGCTATAGACAAAAAAAGAAGGCTTTCGAGCATATTTGGCAGGACCTTCTACGTGGAAGCACACGCCAGAACGCTGCTGCCACAGTCTGTCTGCGTGGATCTAGACTCTGGTAGGGCTCACTAGCTGTCAATTGAATTCCGATCACGGGTGATTTGCCGTATTATCGATTGGGGTTCCGGACATCCTTAACTGTCAGACTGAAGGATAGTTGCAGATCAAATGTGCAATACACCGTTTCTCCGATAATCCGGCAAAAGATTGTGTTACGCACATTGACCTAAGAGGTCATGACGCCTGTGGGAGCCGCTCATCTCGTCTTCTGGCCACAACATTTCTGCATTTTCCGGAAGCATAACCCCGGTGCGGCCACTTGCGAACCGTAGGTCAGTTGTTTCCCAGGAATTACCGTTTAATAGCGTGATGGTCCAACATTCCGACTCTGCAGGTCATTTGCCGGCCCCAGGTCGCTTTGTGTGGGGACAAGATGCATCTCCTTACCATAAAAAGTGTTGCGACCACGATTTTTCTACCTCTCTGACCTGTACGGCCTTTCCACAAGAAATCAATCTGTTGTTGAACCACTAGTCCTCACCATGGCTATTCTCTACGACCTCGGAATTCGGCTCGTCGCGTTGACGTCGGTGGCCTTCATAGGAGCCGTGGTGTATAGCTACATCAAAATGCTGATGTTGCGGCCCAAACTCCCTCCAGGACCCTTTCCATTGCCCATTATTGGGAACATGCACTTATTGAAGTCGTCTAAGCCCTGGCTGCAGTTCGACAAATGGAGCCAGGAGAATGGCGAAGGTCTCCTGACAATATGGATTGGCCGCTTTCCTATCATCATTTGTAATGATGCTTGGTCGGCCTCGGAACTCATGGAAAAGAGATCTCATATGTACTCCTCCCGACCACGATACGTTATATTCGGGGACATCACTGGCCAACAGCACTGTAACCAAGTCTTCATGCCTCACAATGACCACTGGCGTCTCCAGCGAAAGATCATGGTGAGTTATTCTTCTATAGATCTCAAGTGAGGGCACACGTCTGACTCGTTTGTTTAGCATACCGCGGTAGGCTCCCAGGCATTGAAACCCTACAAGAGTTTCCAAGAAGACGAAGGCAAGATTCTCATGAGGGAACTTTTGGACAGCCCAAAGGATTTCGCACTCTACTTCGAGCGATATGCCTGCTCACTTGTATCAATTCTGGGCTATGGGAGACGGATTGACTCGAAAGACGACTACATGCTCCGATTCGCCGTGTCCATGATGGATGGGATTACCATGATGCAGGTTCCCGGATTATACTGGCTCGAGGCCATTCCTGAACTGCAGTATCTACCCTCTTGGATTTACGCCCTGCCCAACAGGCTTCGAAAACGCAGCCAGGCGGTCGCTAAATACTGGTGGGGTCTTGTGTCGGAGGGTGCACAGGCACGAGAGAACAACTTTGCCAAAACGCTCGTCAGGTCCAAGGAAGAGCAAGGTCTAACAGAGCTGGACATTGCTGAGATGATCGCTAATACGATCGGCGGAGGGCTCGACACAACGTCGAGTACCTTGCACACTCTAGTTCTGGGACTTTGTGTCTTCCCCGAGGCTCAGAAAAAAGCTCACGAGGAACTCGACCGTGTGGTTGGACAAGATCGTTCGCCCACCTGGGACGACCTCGACCAGCTTCCATATTGTGCGGCTGTCCTAAAAGAAGCTATGCGATGGCGAAGTGTTACGGCTATGGGAGGGTTTGCTCACTGCCCCGAGAGGGATGATGAATACCGTGGATACCATTTCCCTGCCGGCATCGCTGTCTTCGGCAATCTCTGGGGCATCCACCGAAATCCCAAAGACTTCCCAGAGCCCGACGTGTTCAACCCTGATCGCTATTTGAAAGAAAATCAACGCCAGTACCCGAATTCACGAGGCCATAACGCTTTTGGATGGGGTCGCAGAAGCTGTAGTGGACAACTCTTTGCTGAACAGGGTTTGGCAATGACTGTTGCACGCATGCTATGGTGCTACAATTTTGAGCCAGGCTTGGATGAATTTGTAAGAAGACAACGACACCCTTGAATATGGTGGACAACGAGTGGCTAACACCTCGACTAGGGCAACCCTGTCAAGCTTGACATCTGGAATTTCACCGACAACGAAAACACCCAGCCACGACCCTTCCCCGCGAGATTCCTTCCGCGTAGTGAGACGATCAGAGACATCATTGTCCAACAAGCTCAGGAAGCCAGAGTACGGCTTCAAGTCTACGAAAGCGAGGCCAAGACGAAGTTCTCACTATAGTCCCGCATCATGTTCGATCGCGATTGTCGATGGGACAAGTCAGGATCTGAGCACCCGTCAACCACCAGCGACGTTTACCGTTGCTGACTACATAAATGGTCCGGACTGATGCATTTTCATCTTGAAAGAAACACAAGATGACCGGAAACCTGTATAGGGCCTGCTGTCAACATGTGGTCCGGGGTTTGAGAAAGGCAGAGAGCCAGTGCACATGCCCCCATAGTCTTTTGTCATCCAAATTTCATCCATAAAAATTCGGGTTCTCGAACTTGCGCCTGGCTACGGTGTGGCGTGTGTACTCAAGCCACAGAATAATCTGAGAAACCGCTAAACATTACGGGAATTCTCCGTAAAATGCCGGTATTAATATTTGAATGGTATTAGATACGCCGACGATTTTCCGTTCTCGAGCCGCTAACAACCCCATGGGGTTCGCCTGAGTGTCAATATATGTCATTTTGATCCGAGAGCTTGCCACGGAGACCGAGACCAGTTCTTCCCATGCTCTCCAGCATCGACACGACCTCCGCGGCCCTCAAAAGATTGCCTCTGCTTTGGGAAATGCATCTTTCGAGCTTGGAGAGGTTATCGAGTTAAATATCCACCACAATGTTCATTTTGCGGGTGATATCGCGTGCATTTTGCCCACTTCCACTTTCGCCGTAGACACTCTCGGGGTCATTGATCTGCCCAATAAATTCGAATTAAAACCACGCATCTCTTACCACGTCGCTCTATACCTCCTTTTGCCTTTTCCATCTAGTCAAGCAGCTAGATCTTTCGTCACGATGTTTCTGATCGTAGCTCCTCTGGCAGCGGCCTTATTCGCACTTGTGCTACAAGGATATCGATACTTCTGGCGATCTCAGCCAACCGGCACTAGGCAGCTTCCGGGACCTAAAGGTACGTAAGGGTGACCAGTACTACCAAGAGCGATATTGTCCCTGGTGAATGTGGCTGATGACTATCACACCAGGAAAGCCACTCATTGGGAGCGCTCAGGATCTTGGGTCGGACTACTTTTGGATAAAGTTCCAAGACTGGGCCAAACAATATGGACCAATCTATCAGTACAAGACATTTGGCAAGGTCAACGTGGTGATATCGACGGAAAAGATTGCCAATGACCTGCTCAGAGAACGTGGGAATATCTACAGTTCGAGAGAACAGTTGACCATGGGTTCGGAGCTGCTCAGCGACAACAAGAAGGCCTTGTTCCTTCCGTACAATGGTAGACCTCTCATACTAGCTCGACCGAGCTTGATGGACTGACTCAGGCATAGACACATGGCGTCGGTATCGCAAATTCCAGCATCATGTCACCATGCCTAAAATGGCCACATCTTATCAGCCTCTGCAACTCCAAGAGTCTGCTCGCCTCGTGCACGACCTTATCCTGAACCCCAAGGGCTATCAGACGCTTTTTCAACGTTATGCTGCCGGGCTGATTCTTCGCCTAACTTATGACCTCCGGATCGAATCGGGTGAAGAGGATGTAGTTCGTCGAGTGTACGAGAATCAGCTCGCCGTGGAGCGCATCGCATCTCCAGGGCAATATCTTGTCGACCTAATCCCGTCGTTGAAGTACCTTCCAGACTGGATTGCGCCGTTCAAAAGAGAGGCAAAGGCGCATCGCAAGCGAGAAATCTCGTTGTTCTGCGGCCTCGTGGACGATGTCCGAAAAGACGTTGAAAAAGGAAAAGCAGGCCCAAGTTTCACGAAGAGTTTGCTGGAGAAAAAGGAGGAGTATAACCTCTCCGAGCTCGAAGCCAGCTATATCCTCGGCGGCCTATACTCTGCCGGTGCATCTACTACTGCATCCGGTGCAATGAGCTGACTCTTGTGTATGGTCTTGTTTCCGGAGTGGTTGAAGAAGGTACAAGATGAGCTGGACCGCGTCGTGGGCTCGGCACGGCTCCCGACCTTTGACGACCTTCCAGAGCTGCCGACAGTAAGAGCCGTTGTGAAGGAGACCTTGCGGTTCAGACCCGTCACCGCTGGTGGTAAGTTGAAATCATATTCCTCTGCCAGCGCCCTACCTACAGCCCTCCTGGTTTCTTGAATGCCACCACCAGGGGTTCGACTGACAGTGCCATCAAATCACAGGTATTGCCCATAAAACGACAGCGGACGATGTCTACCAAGGCTACTTTATTCCCAAGGGCGCGATTGTTCATGGAAATATATGGTGGGTCAGAACACTTTTGGCATTCCACCTTGAACCTGACTGACATGCCTGGCTTACTAGGGCCATTCACCATGACCCAGAGCTCTATCCAGATCCCGAAACCTTCAACCCCGACCGATGGTTGAACCCAAAGTTCCCGACGTATCGTGAACCTCTCACACAATACCCGAATCTCCAGAATTACTCCGCCTTTGGCTTTGGACGTCGCTTATGCCCTGGCGCCAATATAGCTGAGAGAAGTCTCAATATCATCGTCGCGCGCACAAGCTGGGCGTGTAACATCAAAAAGGCCGTGGACCCCAAGACTGGCCAAGAGATCACGCCTCCTTCTTATGACTGTGAGTCCTCTCAAAACACCCTTCATGTGCTTCCTCGTTTCAGGCAATACCGCCCAGCCTAGAACGGAGATGCCCTTTTTGCCCCGAAAGAATCGTTTTGTGATGTATCGGGAGAATCTCAGAACTGACGAAGTACATTCCACAACAGACGTGAAGGCACTCAACACCGAACCTCATACATTCCCATTCGGCCTATCCTGTCGCTCGCCAGAGCGCTGGAGTCTCCTCGAGGAAGAAGCCCGTAAAGCAAGAGAGGAGTTGAGGATGCCCGCGGACAAGTGAACTCGGAAAGACTGCAAGGACTGATGGAGCCATTCTCATTTCCAAGGGCCAACGTAGTCTATAACATGGTCTAGAATTGCGAGGCAAGTTTGAGGCCAGTGCAGTCACTCTTTGATAGTGTTGGCATTTGTGCCAGAAACACATTAAAACAATAAAATTGAATAGTGTTAGACAATGGCACACGCCTCGGATGACCAAGACCCTGTTCAAACAATCACCGAGAGTTGCAACTCTACACAAAATCCGAATTACACAGGGAGCAACTCAGCTGGTGGGGTATTTACCGGCAACCTACCTGGTATTTGCGTCAAAAGGCGTGTCCAGCGGGATGAAGTCCATTTCACATGACTGATGTGCCATAAAGTCGGGCCTTGCGGCCAACGGTAAAGACTTGCCACCGTAATATCCCAAAGAAGTTCCATCGCAATTGAGGGATCGAGTCTATGAATGGCCTAGCCCCACAGCCATAATAGATTTGGGGACCTTTTCCTACTAACTACAACTGGGTCTGCCCTTGGCTGTAGAGGTTTCGGCAATGGGATTTTCACCAGAAATCCCCCTCCGCCCCACTTATTGCCGACGCTAATCCCAAAGAAGAATGTACCGTACCCGCACTTCCTTCCACGATTAGACTTCAGACCAAGTAAAATGTTTGGGTTCTGGTGACTGGGGGCAAATGCCACCGAGCATGCGCCGCGAACCTGCACAGGGCCGGCTGTAGATTTCGTAGGGGCGTTTTGATATATACATTCCAGAGGCACAGGACGCGGTGCTGGGTAGTGGTTACAAGCTACGAACCATCTTCACCGAACAGTGCGATGGGAGACTATCAGGATTTGCTGTCGCAAGCCGGACGGTCGCAGTCCCTTTCCAATGGATTTCACTCTGAATCGTCACCGTCGTCACAAGCAGAGCTGGACGCATCCAACATCAAGATCACGTTGACCAAGCAACCACGCTCCGTGCCCGCGCCAGGGTCAGCGGAGGAGAAGTCGCAGAAGGTCTGTACCGATCATATGGTGTCGGCGCAATGGACTCTTGAGAAGGGCTGGGCGCAGCCGGAAATCACGCCCTATGGGCCGCTCGCCATCATGCCCACGGCTAACGTGCTGCACTATGCGACTGAGTGTTTCGAGGGCATGAAGCTGTACCGGGGCCTCGACGGCAAGCTACGTCTATTTCGACCCTATGCCAACTGCCTGCGCATGTTGACCTCGGCGCAACGAATCTCCTTGCCAGGCTTTGAACCCACGGCTCTGCTGGGCATGATCAAAAAGCTGTGCGCGCTCGACGGACCCAAGTGGCTGCCGCAAGACCGCCGCGGCAGCTTTCTGTACATTCGACCTGCGATGATTGGCACCGACTCTTGTCTCGGATTCGAAGTGCCCAAGGAGGCCCTGCTGTTCGCCGTGATTTCGTACTGGCCTCAGCCCGCGAAACCGACCAAAGGTAAAGGACTGCGTCTCTTCGCCAGCCGCGAGGACGAGTTGCGCTCCTGGCCTGGTGGTACCGGGTTCGCCAAGATTGGTCCCAACTACGGCCCTGCGCTGCTCGCTCATGGCGTGGCCAAGAAGATGGGCTATGACCAGGTTCTCTGGCTCTACGGACCGGACTGTCAGCTCACCGAGGCGGGATCTTCTAATGTGTTCCTGATCCGGCGATCACAGGACGGCCACCTACAGATGATTACAGCGCCCTTGGACGAAAAGACCATACTTGCCGGCGTCACGAGGCAGAGCGTCCTTGACCTCGCCCGGGAGAAGTTCGCCAAGGACCAAGATGTCGTGGTGGAAGATGCGACAGGCCCTCAGCACGTTGCGGCTGTGGAGGTCATTGAGAGGAATTACACAATGTCCGAGCTGCTCGCTGATCTGGAAAAGGGTAACCTCCTCTCCGTGTTTGTGGTGGGCACGGCCGCGTTCGTCACCGCCGTGTCGCAGATCGACTTTAGAGGGCAAAACATCCAACTGGAGACCGATGCTACGTATCATACCGAGCTTCTCCGCCAGTGGATGTATGATATAATGTATGGAAAGGTATCGAGTGGGTGGGCCGACATCATAGAAGAGGAAGGTTAGATAGAGTACGTGTTAAAAGGCAAAATACGTGAGAATGGGTTTCAACGACGATTGTCAGCGAAATTCGATTTCGTAATTTGTCGCAATCAAATGCCTATTACCAGGTTACTGGTCAGCGCAGCTGTATGGCCATCAGAAGTTCCGTTCCGTCAGAGCTTCCGGTCGCAAATTCATCAAGCATTTGTGCCGTGCACTTGCGTAGTTCGACTTCAAGACAACTTCTCCTGAACCATTTGAATAATGTACAAACCGAGAAAAACGTCCAAAACCCATACTGGACTGACAGCAGCTAGTTCGCTGATTGGATATGCGCATAGCAGCGTTATATATATGTTTCATAGCAATGGCGTTATACCAATGACCCTGACATGACGATCATGCAGCGTTTTCCGTTGGTGAATCAGTCCACCATCTCAGAGTGCAACAATTTGTAGATAGGCCAACTGTGTGCAGAATAAAAAGCTGCAGTGCGGTGCCATACCGTGTCAAGTGACATGTCGACTTGACCCCGATTTTAGAAATTGTGCTCGTTTCAAGATGCTCTGCACCCATGTAGACGGATACCCTTTCAGTTTTAATGCCTCCAATGGCTCAGCTGTGTCAAGTACTTGCAATAGATCTAAGCACGTCAGAAACAGGACCGCCCATGCCAATGCCAGCACTCACCAAGGCAAAATTGTCCAATCCCCCAGTATTCGGAAAATCGCCGCAAGACCAAGTCGAGAAGGTTGCCGTCGAGAGCTGCAAGAGCTTCGTCCCGTACATCTGATTCGAGAAGAGAGCGATCGGCGGAGTGTGCTGCGGCTGGGCCAACAATGGCAGCGGTGATAAAAGGCGATGCGAGGGCAATGAAATCGGGCGTCCACATACGTACTACGCTAATCTGGTCTCTCAACACCTTGCCACATTGCTGGGCAGGGCTCCCAGCAGACATCTCGAGACTGGTCGATTCATCCTGGAGAGGCGATACATCGGACATTATAGAGCCTTGATTCTTCAGCCCTTCGGCGTAGAGTCCAAGATTGACGATGATGTTATTGCTAGTGTGAAAAAGACGGGTCAGACTTAGATCTCCCGTCACATAGCGTGGCGTTTGTGCTCTTACCTATGGATGATGAAATGCATGGCGATGATCCAGTTCTTGTCCCTGAAACTGTTTTCTGCAAAGTCCAAATTTTTCGATTTCATCCTCAGGTTTGGAGGTAGACTGAGGCAAAAGCAGTGGATGGCGGACTGAAGGATTTTGAGATTGCCCAAAGAACGATCTCTCTTCTCAAACTCCTCTTGTGCCGACCGTAGAAGAAAATTGCCCACGAGATACCACGCGTATGCATCTTTGTTTTCGGTGTCCAAAAGACTCCTCCAGGCGGCTGCAGGACCTTTCGATGATATGGGCGCCGATCCCACTGGTCGGAGATCAAACCAAGCTTCGTCGGACACTGGCAGCCAAACGTCTGATCTCTTCATGTCAAGGCTAAATGGTCGAGCTCCAATCACGCTTGCGAAATTGTCCATCTGGAAAATGACCCACCATGCTCGTCGTCGTTCCTCTTTGTCGCACCAGTCCTCTACCGATATCTGAGCGTCTGGAGGTGAGGATTCGCTGTCGCGGTCGACCTGATGAACACATAGCGCGTATGCCAGCCGACAACAGAGTCCGACTCCCACCCAAGCTCGAAACGACGGGCGTGACGACAGCTGGTAATATGTAAGAAGTATGCAGCCGTGTAGATATTTCATGGTCAGATGGTCTTCGTCCTCATCCCGAGAGCCTAGATCACATAGTACTTGAGCTTTTTTGGCAAAGGGCTCCCCCCGCATCTTCGGTTCGCAAGTCCAGAAGTCCGTCTTCTCTGAGAATCGGGCTGCTAAAGCGAAGATACCATTCAGCAAGAGAGCAGACTCAAGGTCGAGGTTCTGGTAGAGTTGGTGTTCAACTTGACCTGCTCCTGGTAACGAGGCAAGAAATCTCGGGCGATGAAGAAGAGGCAGCGCTGGTTGTATTTTTTGGAAGTAGAGATCTAACCTGACATCCTGTTAGGAAGCGACTTCACAGGGGCTGATCTTACGTACAGATGCTCCGCGATGGCGGGAGGAATGTCGATTGAAAAGAGGTCAGGCTTGTCGTAACTCGCCAAAGTGTGCACAGACTCTGCCGGCTCGCTGGCGGCAGCAAAGGAGCGCCTTCCGTGGACGTCGTCGCTCCCGAGAGAACCCTCGACAACCGTACCATTACCAATAGGAGGGGCCATGGATATTGGGGTTTGATTCAGGCGGTGTGTCTCTTCAGCCCCAAGCCAGCCGGGTGTGAATATTCGATATTGATCTGCGCCTTGCGCGAGACCTTGGAAATATACGTCGAACATTGGTTCCGGCCCAAGCGGTGAAAGTGAAAGGTCGAAGGGCATATTGTCAACATTCATACAATCAGATCCTTGTTGTGCTAGTGGCACATCTCGCGACTGTCCACTGCGGTTCACCTGCTCTGACTGATCCAGATTGCTGATGGTGTTCGGAGATTTCTGCGTGGCAGACGGCGGCAAAACAGTCCTTTGGGGTGAGCCCTCCGTCGACAACAAGTAAGTCCCTGAGTCAAGGAGGATGATTAGCTTCCTCACTTTCCAAGCTCGATGCAGACAAGAACATGTCAAGAAATCAGGTGTGTCAACAAATAGAGCGCAAACACACCGGGACCATTTTCTGAAAATTTCGAGAAGTGATCTGATTTCTTCCGTACTCGATCTTTGCGCCGGATATATCGTTTCCGCCCTGTTGGATATACGCACTCGATACTAACACGATTGCACAAAGAACAGGCTGGACGTTGCATGTCACCTTGACGAGGGAGAAGTTTCAGCGAGCTGTCCTGGTGCGACCGAATCTTGGGCCATACTGACATTTTATCTTCTTCCTGCATTCGAATTGGTTGAGTAGCCATCGCCAAAGGATGGAAATGGTGAGACTCACCTTGCGCATTCTTCGCAGGCTCGCGAAGCGAGATCTTTGCGCCCACTGGGAGCGGCAAATTCTTTGAATTGAGCATCAAAGGCTTGGAAAGCCTCCATCGAAGCATCATTAATCGAAGGATTTCTGAAAGATGCCAAGGGAAGAGGCCACTCAAGGCGGAACCCAGGGAAATCAAGGGCGCAAGGCGTAACTGGGATGAGTGGGAATTCAAGTCAAAAGTGGCCCACGGTGGTGTGGTTGGACGGGCGGGGAACAATGCGGGCAAGACGATGGGAGACATGGGCAGATGCATGGGGCATTCAAGGGAACAAGATGCAGTTGGTGGACACCGAGTCGGTAGAGAGAAACAGGCGCGGGCGGGCTGGAACCTGCATGCCGCTCCTTGCGCAGACTTTCCATGACGCACCCACCCACCCACCATTCATCCCACCATCCCTCCATCCCTCCATTTTCGCCCGTTCCTCTTGATTTTCTCGCTTCTTGTACCTACGGACTTCAAGCCCAATCATATCCTTGCTTCCTCTAGCCGAGATCCTTCGTCGCCGCCAATCACACCCACCACAGTTGTCAGAAAATATCAGCTCTTCTCATCTTACTGGGAACACACGCGAGCGAGACAAGTCGTCCCTTTTTCCGGCAGCACTCGGTCATGCGCTTACAGTGTCTGGTCTCTACCCTGTGACCTTCTTCCCTTTCTTTCGGTCGCTCAGATCATGGAGATCTGAAGAAGCGAGAGGGAAAGGTACAAATCCCGCTTCGCTTCGCCTTGCCTTGCCATCCTCGCTCTTGTTACATATTACCCAGTAAGGCGCATCAGGTCGAAGCGTGCGCAACTGGATCATGCGCCAACGATCGTCAAGATGAACACCACCCACGATGTCCGTATGCACGACGCCCGCACACTGCCACACGAGGACAGCAAATCGTCCGGCATTCCTCTGCGCAATCCCATTCATCCCTCGGTGATTGACAAGCTCGATCCCGCTTTTGTGAAACTATACAATGATTACATCGCAAACGGACCCCCCTCATCCACCGACCTGACGGTGGTGCGCCAGAACTATTCAGCCTTATATTCATATGCTGCTGCACCACCATCTGGTGTAGGAGGAATTGGGGAAACCCAAGTACCAGGTTGGAATAAATATCCTGGGGATATCAATGTACGGGTTTACGTCCCACCGGGTGAAGAGCCAGGGCAGCGCAAAGTGTGGCCCGTCCATTTCAATTTCCATGGCGGAGGTAACTTAGTCCATCTACAACCGTGTTGACCATTATCTTTGCTGACACTCTGGTCAGGCTGGGCAGTCGGTGACCTGGAGACCGACGCACACATCTGCCATCACATCTGCGCTGCCGTTCCCTGTTGCGTTATCGACATTGAATACCGGCTGATCCCCGAGTATCCCTTTCCCATCGGCATCATGGACAGTCTCACGGCTGTCGGACACATCCTAGCCAACCACAAGACATTCTCCATCGATTCTACAAACATGACCTTTGGCGGCGAATCCTCTGGGGCGACTATCGCTCTGATCCTGAACCATCTGTTCCGTGACGGTGGGTTTGGAGACAAACTGAAGGGCGTGGTTGTTGCGACACCTACTATCAGTGACGTAAGGAAGTACGCAACACCAGACATGAGCCCTTGGCCGAGTATGAGAGAAGCCGAGTTCGCTCCCCTCCTCAACTGGGAGAAGTTGAAATGGTTCGATACTTTCAAGTGGATGTCCTTGTCGAGTCAACACCCGGGAACAAAGCCCAAGGAACAGAAGCGAGATATATCGTGGTTTGCCGATGCCATGAATGCTCCAGATTTCAAGAACTTGGCTCCCATCACGTATGTGGCCACGGCAGAGATTGACCCTTTGAGGGATGAGGCAGAAGCATATGCTAAGAAAGTTGAGGAAGCGGGTAATAAGATTGTCCTACGAAGGTTCAATGGCATGCCACACCACTTCATGCACCTGGATAGAGCGCTTCCCCAAGCTCGAGACTATGTCCAGGATGTCATATCGCATATCCGCCAGTGTCTCTATCCTCCTTCTGATCCACCCGCGATGAAAACGCCGCCGGAAACCTGAGAGGTCTCCGTGGTCACTCACTGGATACGAAAATCTGGGCGCCAACTGTGGTTTCTTCATCTCAAATCTAGTGTCATGAGCCAGCCGATCATATCCAGCAGTATGCCGAAGTGTTACCAGATCGTGCCGTGGCACCTATCGCACCATTTCCCACTCCTGATGGCAGACGCCGCCTCAAGGATGGATATTGTTAACGACTACTATGTATTGAGGGAGAGCCAATTATGGCTGCTCATCCCATCTAACCCATGCCACAGCTCCCCCTTGCATATTGGCAGACTCGCGGCCAGTGATCTTTCTTCAACAGCCGCGGATTGGGGCGTGGCCAATCCGGCAGCTCGAAATCATAAGTACAACTGGCTGCGCTCATCCCCGACAAGGCTCTTGTCTGCGGTCGGTGCTCCCGTCGCTTTAAAGAGCCTTTGCTTGAGTAAGACGATATCACATTGTCTGCGCTCTCACCCTGGCCGCCAACGCAGGTCTCTATTTCCATCCCTTTCTGAGAAGATCGACAAGCAGCGATAGCCACATATACTTCTCCCTAGCGAACATCCGCTGAGTATCCCCCATGAACGACGGGCGTCAGCAAATTGCAGCGTGCTATTTATCTAATAACGAAAAGCAAAGACTACTCGACAAGCAATATGATGAGATAGATTCGATTTGATATGAGGGCTACATATGGGGCGGATCTGTTCAGACAATCGGGTCTTATGTTTGATCATGATGATAGACCTTTTGCTTCAACGTAATGTATTAGTAACAATCTTCAGAGAATTTGACTCTGATGCAAACACAGTCCTGCTCAATATGTATATCCCATGTATGGTAGCTGTACGCAGATATCTGTATCTCAAGGCCACCACGCTCTTAATGAGATGCGGGGTTTACAGTATAGTGGCTGAGTGGAGACGCGGTTCAACTTCGGAAGATCGTCGACGCGTCGACGCGTCTGTGCATGGGGCCACGCGACTAGCACAGATAATTAATTGCTCTTTTGTCATTGATAGCAGTCTCAGCGAACACCTCTGAACAAGTGAGCATTGCCTTGATACACATAGTCACGATGCCAGAGAGACCTCCATTCCCTGGCCGCCCCGCGCAGCCCCCCGGCCCGACCTACCTTCACTATTCGCCCGATGGTCAGAGGTTGACCGTGGCTGGCATTGGAGATTTTGCTCGGTCCTTCAGGACTAACGACAACGGCGAACCCGACTTGCTACCCTCGACTCATGCAGAGACATTTGCTATTGCTTCAGGAGTACGGTGCCGCCAGCGGAAAGAACATTGACAGGGTGAAGTCGGCTGACTGGGAACAGAATGACTACGCCATCTTTGGCTGCGAAGATGGAACAGTGTGTGAATATGCAGTCCCGTCGGGAGACTTCAAACAGATGCTTGTCAGGACCACACTTCCTATTAGAGATATTGCACTCTCCCCGGACGAAGAATGGGTAGCAGTGTCCAGCGAGTAGGTCAATTCTTGTTCATACGTGGCAGACATCTCTGACTTCTCTAGCGAGCTTGAAATCAAGATCGTCAATCGAAACGACATTGAGCGAATGTTTATCCTGCGCGATCACCCAAAACCAATAAAACATATAACATACGACCACTCTGGCAAATATCTAACCGCGTCCTGCACTGATGGCGTCATCTACGTCTACGACATGAGTTCCGCCGAACCCAAGCTATCCCGTACGTTCGACGGCGTTATCCCTCGACTTGAAACAGCTGAAACAGCCACTTCCCGCTGCGTGTGGCATCCTGACGGAAGGGCTTTTGCTTGTGCAACAGCAACAAGAGATATCCAGGTCGTCTCAGTCGAGGACGGCGCACACCAACGGACGTTCTCAGGAGAGCACAATGCAGAGATAACAGCACTGGCATGGTCACCGAATGGAGCCTTGTTAGCCTCGGCAGACGCGGAGTATCTCATTATCTGGGACACCAAAACACAGAAGCCATTGAAACGGTTCAATTACACCAACATCCTCAATGTAGCGTGGCAGACTCACAGCGAGAACATCTTCAATTGGACGACTTCGAACGGTGAAGTCTTCATCATTCCGGAGTTTCTCAAAGACGAAGCCCACGTCAAGTTGCTCAAAGGACCCAAAGTCGGGGCTCCCTTTTTCCACGATCCGCTGCTTGAGAGAGCTGCAGTCGTGAATGGCCGGAAACCACTCGTCAATGGTCAAGCAAAGCGGGCAACTACTCCTGACAGCCTCGACGAGCTTCTCGGACCGGAAGAAGAATACGATTGGATAGAAGATGACGATGGTGCAGGGTATATCAACGAAAACGGCAAGAGGACCAATGGACATCTTGGAGACATAACACACCCTTTGCCAAAG